ACATACAGACATACAAACCGACACACAAAGTTAGCGCTTTATAAAATAGAAGGATACTTTTTCTTCTGTACGCTTTTTGACAATATTCACTGCCTCTCAACTGAGCGGCCTCTGCGAGCACGACCATTATGTGCACCTCACTTGAGATTCACGACCTTCGGGCGGTGCATCCTTCAGATGCACCATATCTAGGAAGCAATTAACACATTCACGCCGATGGCCGCCCATATGGGCTGCCAACAACATGCGCTCCTGGGACGATGGCAGCCCATATGGGCTGCCAACTGATAATCGCTTGCCAGGCGCTAGGAATGGACAGATAGGTGGGCAAACCTCGTAATCGAGTGTAAAATGCTTTTAAATTCCTTCACGGGGAAAGTGAATAAATGCTCTCTTTTCGTAACCACTATTTGTCGTTCTGATCGAAATCCTACTGTTATATGTTTAGATAATCTTTACGCATTGGACATTGCAGAAATTATTTTGTGACATTCATGTTTTTGTTCATTTACAAAACAAAATCTGCGGTTATGTGGTGAGGCGGCGGCGCCCACAAAATCGCGTCCGTCCCACGCGACCGAAAAGTGGAAAAGGGGCGTCGTCGTGAATGTGTTAAGCCGGCAGCTCGTAAAACCAGAAATCCCGGTCGTTTCGCACTAATACTTAATTGGGGCCATTCGCCAACTTAAAGGCAAACTCCGGCGATTGAACTGGTGCTAAGAGCGCTTTGTAGTGATAGCTTAGCTGCGGAACGACCTGAAAGTGGAAGAGGAAAGCAAGAGAACTCTTTGCTGAAATTAAGGCCTTAACCTTCAATAAGGTCGGATGTGGTACGATGGCGAGACAGGGCGGTCAAAGAAGACAAAATACGCGAGAGAGCACGTCGTTTGAGAGAGCACGCTGATCTCACCATCTCGCGGTGGGTGGGAAGCGTTGCAACGGGGTCGATGGTTGCAGGCCCGTAAGGATTAGCGCCCTAACCGCGCAATTTTTGCGACGAAGCTGGAGTGATCGGTATGGTTTGCCTTCGAGATCATGGAACATAAAATTACATTTTGAAGAGCAGGACCAATTCGATGGTCTAGTCAGAGCCGCTGCTTATTTTTGTGTTGGAATTAAAGGAATCTTGCGCGGAAAAATCATGATTCTATTTCAGCCATAAATCACTGGCTTGAGACTCATTATCCACGATAATAGTGAAAAGAACTGAAGTATTGCTTTCGTTTTGATTAGAAATTCGAAAACTCGAAAAGGCTGCTACGCGTTCGAATTGCCCACGGACGTCTTTCACGAATGCTGGCGACGGGGATGCTCAAACTTGGTTCTTGGAGTGCATTCACTAGAAGCTCTTTCTGGCCTTCTGCTTCGTTGCATTCACATCTTACACTTCTACTCCATCCTATTCCATCGATCGATTTGTCTCCACTCTCCGAAATCGCGCGCTTTAACCCGATTCTCTCATTGCGTCGCCTGGTACGTAGCCGGCCAAACGCCGTCTTCTTTCCATGCCTCGCCTGGCTCTGCCTCCTGGTCCTTCGATGGTCCATAACGTGTAGTTTTTGTACGTTTGTTTCTCTTCAGAAACCGAATCTTCATGCGTGAAACTTTGTGTGCTATTTCCAGTGATCACAACTGACATATTCATGTTAGGAAAGAGTGCAAGAATTTTCCGCGCAAGATTCCTTTAAGGTTTGCCACCACATTTATGCCCCTGTAGACATGACTAACAATATCTTTGAGTGGTTTGCCTAGCTCAGCATGTCTGTGGTAACATCGCATGGGCAACTGCTGCCAAAAACTGCAGATAAGGATCAAAACTAAAATCTATCAAAAACTCTGTTGAAGATTCTCACACAGGTTCTCGACTGGTATGCTTGAAAGTTCATTGCCCTCCATGAACAGCTCGTTTTCCTACTTTTCTCCCGCACTCTCGATGATTCAACTGCACCATGTTGACACAAAAATATGAATTTGGAAAATACTCACAGAAAAAAACTCAATAGAGGTGAGGATAGAGAGGAAGCACTTACAATCGTGACCATGAATGAGCTGAAAATTCCAAGCAGAAACCCGTTTATGGATGTAGCTCCTTACATGGCGTTTGTAGCACGCTATATTACAGTTGCCATAGAGAGTGAACAACGTGATGGAAAGGGGTGAAATTTCGTAAACAAATCAAGCAGTAGAAAAAAGAGGAAAAAAGAAGCTAATTGCTATCAACGTGAGTCATGCTCATGCACTGTATACTGGGACAGAGGAAGATCCCCGCCGTCTTCCTTTGCCAATTGTCGGTAGATTTCTCCAACTATTTTGTACTTCCGATGGTGTTCTTCCTTTGGTTTCCGGTAGAAAGAAGTACAACAGAATGACAGCACATATCTAAACAGTCTTCTGTTATTTATTCTAACAGGAATGATTGGTGAATTTCCCTCGCACAAACTAACACCTTCTGGGAGTCATAAATGCGTAGCCAAGGCGTAGCCAAGGCAATCTCGTGGAGCCGGCCGAGAAGCAGACGTAGGGTTGGCTATCCCCGCCATCAGGCTGCACAATTTATCGGAGTGAGGAAGGCCGCAAAAACTCACGGAAAGAGCTCTCAAAAATGAGCGACAGTTGGCCCCTCCCATTTTTTCGCAGAAGTTCCCACAAATTAACTTACACACAATAATTCAAAAGTTTCTTATCAGCACACGAATCCAGCCCTTTTCGACTACTCTGTACTTAACGAGAAAATGCGCCACTTCTTTCCATCTTTTGAGATCGTCGAAGCTATGCGGTGGCTGGAACCTGGCACTACACATGAGCTTAGACCTACGTATACCCCTTATACAAGCAAACCGGAGGTGACCCTTCCAGAAGTGACCTGAAAAAATTTATTCGCATCCTCGAAAAGCACGTACTAGAAAAGCAGCCAATCACGTCTTTCAAGCGTCACGAAAACGCTCCAAACTCTTATTGGACCAAGCGCATGAAGTGTTCTTTACAAAGACAGAAGCTGCAAAAAATTCTGTGCGGCACCTTTCTCCATTTCGTCATAATGTTCCAGTTCCAGAATTTGAGGCGCTTAAAGCAATTTTAGTAGCGGTTGCAAAGTTCTAGTCACTTCTGAGTGGTGTGGGCAGCAAAGGATCGTAGTACTTGAAGGGGCCCCACGACAAGGTCGGAGGGTGAGGAAGGGTAAATTCTACCTGACGGGAATTCAGGCGGACCCCCCAAGGGTGCGAGACGATGCACGCCTCGCAACGAAGGGTATGCACTCAGCCTAGCATGCGAAGGTGCGAGCGGTGTGCGCACGGCCTAGCAAAGAAGTACCCGCTCCATTCGCGCTTCTGCACGTCCGCCGATGAGGTGACTCCTCGCTATATGACTCTGATCGTTAGGCGTAGAGAGCGTTTTGTGGGTGTCCTTTGCGAATTCGTGGATTCGTCATTGAATCCACGTATTGGCTGCAATTCGAGTGGTACGAGCGATGCACCAGCGAATCCAGTCGCTGATTCGCTGGTTTATCGCTCGTAACTCTCAAATTGCTAGTGAAACGCCCAATCGCTAGCGAATCCGTGGATTAACAAAATATAGCGCCGGTCTTAGCGTTGGAGAGGACAATACTTGTCAGCGCGGTATTCAGCGGGCAATGCCGTGCCGTTTCTCATGGTTCCTTCATTGGCGCACTGACCACCTCTGCTTGATCTCGATGGACTGACTTTTCATCGTGAAGTCCGCCTTCAATCTGTCTTCTATTTCTAAGGCAATCAGCTTTGACTAGAAATCCCCTTGACTCGTTTAAACTGGAAGGACAAAGACGAAACCAATCGGCCAAAAGAACAGCGATTAGATAATGACATAGGGTTGGGCCAATAAGATTCTAGAGGCAGGTAAGCTGGCGGACAAGTAGGATCTTCCATGAAATCCTCAGATCTCTATAAAATATTTTGATGCATCAGAGAATAGTGAATCTCACACTCGTGCAACCTCAAATAAGTAGCCAAGTACAGATGCTCGCTCGGGCATTTTGGTCGACAAGTTCGCCAGTGATGAATAAGGCCATTGGACCTGGTCCTGCGGCAAATACGAGATTGAACAGGCAGACTGCTGCCAAGAGAGGATAACCGAATGAAACGCTCTGAACAATGAATTTCGTTGAAAGGTTAACAAGATACAGGATAGCTTAAAAAACCAATTCATTGTTTCTGATAAAATGATACTTCATGAAATGATCAAAGACTGTCATTTCAGCCGAGGCTGTTTCCGCTTTCTTGTGAATAATATTTCTTCCATTTTTTTTTAATTAATTATCATAGCGGTCAGCACGATCACCGGTACGTAATCCCCTTGTTTCCAGCATTTGACTTGCAGAAGATGTGGTAGAATCACAAACCTACCACATCTCTTTAAGGTGGTTAAAAGCTTGCCTATTTTTGAACTACCATTAAAGGAGAACACGACTCAAGAACGGTGCAGTTGAACAGATCCATGTTGCGGTACGGGTCTCTTACCTGCGTGTATAATTGCAGTCTTTGAGAATCTTCCGCGTTAGGCGGTGTTCATTGGTACAGACCCCACGCGTTAGAACAGTCCGCACAATCCAGTATTCGTTCAGTCTACCAAGCGCTATGTTTTTCAATCGGTTGCCTTTTTGAAAGCACAACACCGCGGATGTCCCCCTTGCCTTCAAGAGGCCATAGTGCTATGACCGTGCCAAAGATCTTCTGTACCATCCAATTTTTTTCTCAGCCCTCAATATGATGATGTATGCGCCTTCTTCCGCTGTAGTCTCGCGACCCCTCTCTCCGGTAAGTAAATCAGCCCTTCTCCCTCTCCGCCTAGACAAATAAGTAAGCAAGTCCTCAAATGTAACGTTTTTGATGGATTCTTTTGATCTTTTGGCACTATTTACCTTTTAACCCATTCCCTCGAAAACTGAGCCAGTATTATTATCGAAATTTGTTTATGACAGCGGATTTGGCTAGAAACTTGCCTCCTGGGCCCGTAGAACAAGTGATAATCACATTTTGTTTAGCCTTAAATGCTCGGCGCCCACGTCAGAGGTATCGCCAAGAATGGCAGAACAACTTGGATTATCGAATTCGCTGGAAACTTGTTGTCAGGCTGGAGACAAATTGACGTTGGCGTTGGTACCTGTTGGCGTGGCGCCAAGCATTTTCGCGATATATATCTGGATGTGATATTTGTGTTCTACGGGCTGAAGCCCCCTGATATAACTTTCTAGCTAATTAGTCACTGACAAATTTCGATTGAAATCCGGTTCGATTTCTTCAGGAATAGGCAGTGAACGGTAAATAGTGTCGATTTTCCGCGCTTCGCACCAGATGCTCTTTCGTTTCATTTGAGGATCCCGTCACGCATAGGTGATTTCTGGCATTCCTACTTTCTATTAGGTACCGGATATCTTAGTGTCGCTTTTCTGAGTTCAGGAAGTTTTGGGGCCGATTACTATGGAAAATCAATATCCCAGAAGGCAGTTTTTGCTCATTAATATTGCGAAATATGTTGCTTACCGTCTTCTATTGTTGGTTCACAATTTAACTTTCCCCCAATTTTTATACTTTCTTCTGAAAATTCCCTGGGTCCAGTGTGCAAATTCGCATGTGTGTACCAAATGCATCAAAATTCTTGCTGAGAGCTGTAACCTCCGCCCACCAAACCAGCATTGCATTTGATGGAGGGAATACTACCATTTAAAATGCTCATCGGTTTTTCACAGTTTTCTTAAAAGACAGTAAAGTCTTTGAAGGGATGCCCGCAACCGTCGCCAAAAAGGTGGTCCTAGCTAAATCAGTCAAAACGGGGCTGCACCAGTCTTGTGCTGGAATGGTAGGACACCCTAGCAGTTACTGATCGATGGTGCACAGACGCTTTAACGAAGTTGATTGCACCAAGAAATTCTAATAAATGTGCTCATCTGCTACTCACGTGTGCTCAAAAAGGGTGCGTTTTTGACCCTATGTGGCAAAAAAGACTCCGGGAAAAATTGTCCAGTTGAGCTGGTAAGTAATAAATTTTCCACCAAACAGTGCAGACCCTACTCTAACTAAATGTATACATATTTTGTCCAGGCCCAACTGTTTAGCAAGTGAGAGGGATGATTTGTCAGATGATGTCAAATTCGACCTACCTCTCTTTTTCGTCTCAAAAAATTCCTAGCTTTAATCGTACGAGGTTTTCACTCATACTGGTAAATGGGAAAGGGCTAATGAGTCATTCGATGGATATGCCGTTTCACTCACTGGATTTTGAATTAAAATATTGGTGGTCCGAAACTCGCGGTGAAAAAACGACACTAAGATATCCGGTACCTAACTATAAAGCGCTTCGTCTGTCGTTCTGTATGTCTGTCACGAAATTCCCTAGCTCCTCGGGATCCGCCTGGAGGGACCGGGTCAAGTGTGGGATGGGTGGGCAAGGTCTCACGAAATACAAAACACACATCAGCTAAGCGGAGCCCCGCCCACAGAGGGCGTGGCGTGCGTCGAAATGAACTGTACCGAAGACCAAGATTTCGATTTCAGTGACAAAACGACCTCGAAACTGGGCCAAAAAGTGGGTAAGGTGTGCATTGGTAAGTCACATCGAATTAGGGAGACCCACCCCCGGTGGGCGGGGCGTTCTCTAAAAAAGCAGTGCTTTATGAAAAATTTCATAACTCGGTTGGGAGAAAGCCTACAGAGCAGAAAACAATTTGGTGTAAGGGGAGCAATGTCTAAGGTGTTTCCTGCATACATGACGTGGGCGGAGGCCCGCCCAGAATGGGCGGGGCGCGCTCTGAAGTGTACAGCATTTTCTACAAGCCCTCATAATTCGGGTCGGGGAAGTCTTAAAGAGCCGGAAAAAGGTGGATAGAGGTGGTATGGAGGAGTGGAGGCCAGCTGTCATGGTGGGCGGGGCTTGACCAAAGTGGGCGGAGTTTGCGACGAAAATTCATAACTCGGCTCCAAGAAGTCCTAGGAGGATGGGAAAACGGGGTTAGAGGTTGGCGAGGGAAAAGAGGTCAACTGCTATCAGTGGGCGGAGCACGCACCTAAGTGGGCGGAGTTTGCCAAAAGTGTCGTAATTTGGTTCCAAGAGGTCCCAGAGACCGGTGAAAAAAGGGGTAGAGGTCGGCGAAAGGAAGGGGGCCAAATGCTATTGGTGGGCGGGGCACGCACCGAAGTAGGCGGAGTTTGCCACGAGATTTATTGTCCGGAAGCAGTCCGGAGACCGGGAAAAAGAGGATAATGGTTGACGAAGAAAAAGAGGTTGAAAGCCGTCGATGATGGAGCGGATAGAATTTAGCTGAGAATTCAGATATTCGTGGTGTATCAAGCCAAATTTGAAAATTTTCGTCGCACCATCAAAATTCGCCGCAGATCTGTGTTGCGCGCGCAATGCGTGCGGCGCCAACTGGTTTAACATATTCAGCAACATATTTCGATCGGATAACAATATTTCAGCGTACTTTTTTCTGTGCTCTCTAACAAAAATTAATGATAATATAAGTAAGCCATGTGGTCATACCTGTCCCCGTTGGAAACCGAACATAAGCCCAGCAATGACGAGATTAATGACAGCTAGCAAGCTGTATGTAGAAAGTAGCAGCGTCCGACGACCGAAGCGGTCAATAATCAGGGATGAAAACAATATTCCGGTCTGAAAATGGAACGCCTTTGTGTTGAGCATTACGGGAACACACATTTCTTCAGCTAGGGTTCGTATTCTTACCCTTTCCGGCTAAACATAAACAGGGGTTGTAATACCACTCGCCTTCAAATGACCAGAAATTGTGCAATTGCAGAAATTGACGTGGCATTGGCACACGTGGCTAAATTCTCGATGAAAAGGTGACATCACGTGTGCTCAAAGATGTTCTTGAATCGATGCCACGTTAATGCCACGTCAATTTCTGCAATTGCACAATTTCTGGTCATTTGAAGGCGAGGGTAGGACCAGGGTCGGTCCTATCGTTGCTACTTTTCAAAAAGTTTTTACGACCCCCCTCCCTCATAAAATGTTTCATACGACCCCCTCTTTCAATACAATTTTTACCCCAAAAAATTACCGTCGAGCGGGGGGGGGGGGGGGGGGGGTATACTTTCCATATAATTCCCATAAACCCCCCGTCTACAATTCATCAAAATAACGACCCCGTTGCTACTTGTAGCAACATACGGTTTGACCCTGGGTACACCTCACATTAAACGAAACCCTGATGATTTATAAATAACCGAAAAAGACAGCATTTGGTCTAGTAAATACCACAACATACCACACTCATCATGCAGATGGCTATATTTCCTATTGACGCTTGCTCAACGGAAAGCCCGGTAGAGAGGAGTATTTCGAACGAGAAGGCGTTTATGGCTGAAAAATAAATGCTTCCCAAACACGAAAGGTCAGAAGACGCGGATTCAGCACAAAAATCGTATTGTGTGCTTATCAAAGAAGATTCTCATTCCTTTATACATTGCATTCTTGCCCTAAAATTGAGGACCAATGATTCCTCGCGCTACAATGAGTTCCTCTCAGGTAGAAGATTCCCGTTATATCTCATAATCTTGGCTGCGGGGATGTGGGTGCGTGAAAGTTGGTAAAAGTGGCTGCGTTTAACCAAGCACACTGATTTTTCGACAAAAGCGGACGTCGTCCGACAGCAAGAAAACTATCTGTGCCTCTAGGGTCATCAATTGGTCCCAGTCTTGTCTAGGAGGGCAAAACACCGGCTTGTACTGTTCAGAATGAGCCGAATTGCGTTCAGATGGCCAACAAGACTCTGAATGGGGGTCTAGTGGTGCAATCCAAAGAGGATCGATCACCACCAACTGCTTAGAGCCATGCTTCAGAAAACTCCCAGAGAAAGATGATGTTCCTAAGTTTACCTGCTATCACGTCATCACCATCGAGATTCCCACAACTGCACCTACAAGTGTTCCCGCGGCGAGCTGCTCGATCCTGGAATCGCCACTAATTCTTCTATCAAATCATAGGTGGGAAGTTTTCACTCACTTTCCATACAGAGATGAGCCCGACTCGCTGGATTTCACTGGTAGATTGATCTAGCTGTTTTAGTGTGGCCCGTAGTGCTTCACCGTCAATATTGTGATAGAATCGTAGCGCTCGCTTGCTGCGATCATCCTCAGCACGAGAGTGGAGGTACCTATAGCGTAAATGAAAAATGACGAAAAAATGTGAATAAATGCGTAATATTCGCGGAGCCGCCGAATTATGATGGTATTCCGTAAAATCAAGCAGAAGTCACGCAGGGACTATCCAGATAACCTAAACACTGACCAGGCAAATTGAAGAAAATAACACTAACAACCAACACACATGTCACCTAAAAAAAAAACGAAGGACCGATGGCGAACAGGGGCCGGATATCGGGTCCTTTGGTCGCATGTGTCCATTTTGCCTTCCCTCGCATTGGTTTTCAAGGATAGCCAAGTGAACAAAAAAGTTAAAAGATTACATAGCCTGTTAGATGGGAAGGAGGGAAGTCAAGCCTTTCACCGTGATACTCAGGGGCAGCTTGAAGACCAAGATAGGGTGTGGAGAGAATTTGGAAGAATAAACCAGCGGAATCAAAAATGCGTATCAGTAATACGATAGAGTCCGTAGGCTTGGAATGGAGTCTATTGAAGAAGAGGAAGGTCAAATGCCCATGGTTGGGGAGAACTGAATCCAGAAAAGACGGTCGCCGGGAACTATATAGCTGAAGCTCCACGCGTAGTTGGGCGGAGACTAAAGTGTTAATTGTGCAAGCTCACCTGGACTGTCGTGGATTGAATGGCATAAGCAGACCTCACTGTTCCGTCGCGTACAACTTCCACCAATCATCACTGGTTCCGAGTAGTTGAGGCATTGCGAGGGTAGCGCCTACCACAAGAGCCTGCTTGCAATAGTATGCCGTTCATCATCGAAGTCACTCCACGACATTCCTTCGGACTGAAATACGATTTGAGAAGACACTTCTTCAAATATCAGCTCATTCCGCACAGTTATCCAATCCAACGAGTGGAGCAACGCCAATAAGCGGTCTTCGAAAAATATTAGGTTTTTAACCCATGGCGAGCCATCGTCATAGGTGCGCACCTTCGTGAATTTTTGTCATATGCATTTAGTAACTAGTAGCAGTGTTTCAGTAACAATAATCTATCAAAAATTTAATCAGCATCAAATGTATGATATATTCTGAGCCCGAAAACTTTCTGATGAGTTTATAACTCAACAAAATGCTAAATAAATCAAACACTGCTTTTCCATGTGGTGGCATTGCGCAGATGCGGTCCGCAGAGTCAAAGCCCCTTTACGCCAATGAATAGACGTTCATTATTGCGCCCGAAAATGAAAGCTGCTTCGGCGTCTGTTCAATGATGAGAAATTGAAAACAACTAGAAATTTTTGATTATACTGCGCACTGATCGCATGGATTGGTTTGTGCTTCGCCTCCACGGCAGCTTCACTGGTTGGTTGGCCTCTAACCAGGTCGGTCCTATCGTTGGGACTTTTTGCAAAATTTTTACGACCCCCTCCTTCACGACAGATTTCATACGACCCCTTCTTCACAACTTATTTTTCCCTCAAAAAACACCGTCGAGGGAGGGGAGGGTATATACGCACGCTGAAACGGCAAATTTTCTCCCGCGCGCTCTCATCACATGTAATTTCGTGCTACCGAAACAAGTACGACCCCCCCCCCACCACAAACTTCAACAAACTACGACCCCCCCCGTTGGTACTTGTCCCAACGTAGGGTTGACCCTGCCTCCAACTGACCTGGCCACTCAATGATTGAAAGTAGTTCTAATATGTAAAAATGAACAAGAACCTGCATTCCGTGATGAACATTGGCGCAATGCCACAGGAGATCGTGATTCCGAAGCCAAGCAGAAAACGGGCAATAGAATAGATTACCGCGTCAGTTTCCTGAAAGTAGAAAGAAGTAGCTGAACAAAATTCCCGAACTTAAAGACACAGTTCACTCATTTGACTCAAAGAATTTATCTTAGTATTGTGCTGTCCCGGAGCCTCATCAGGACCTAAAGTTTTTTTTTTCTGGTAGGGAACCTTCAGAGTACTTAAAAAAATTGGGAACTTTGGAGTTTTTTGAAATAAAATTTTGGCGCCTCTTTGTGTTATACAATATCAAAGAATTCACCTACTTTATAGACCGGGCTACACGACAAATGCAGACCACGCAATATTGCGGGCATGATGTATGCGGCAAGTTAGCTGCTCGGTCTCTCGCTCCAGTGTGAACCGTCACATAGGAACCGATTTCGAAAAATTTTAACGACCCCCTCCATCCCCTAGAGCGAGCCTGATAACGAACCACCCAAGGTCAACTCTTCACGCCTCGCCTGTCATCGCCATTTCATGGGCTCATTCCACAGTATTAGATTCTGAGACCACTCGACACAGCCTAAACTCCGACCACCCCGCCAACCAACTGCATCATCACTTCCCTTACTGTAACATTAACGCTACCTCGCGAAAAATACGAGCCCCCTTTTTTCCACCCCAAATACGACCCCCCACCCCTCGTTGGACTTTGTCCAGCGCACGGTTGACCCTGTTCGCTCGCCTATCCGCCCTAGAGTTTCATCTCTTTGTTCTCTTTTCTGAGCCCTCTCCATGAATTGCACGCCTTGCAAAATCAAACTCGGGAAGTTGAACTTTTTTAAGATCGCTTTGCGGTGTCCGTCAGATGTTTGGGTGTCCCTACACGGGCTCTTCAACATATGTTATCTTCTTTATTTAGACGCACATAGAACATGTGTTGAACAGTTCAAAATGCATGAATTTTATTAGATGAGGCTTTGAAAGCCGATACTCACGTAAAGCCTATTATCGTTGAATTGATCAGGGCTGCGATATTTGAATACTTTATTTTCTGAGAGATCTGAAGAGCTAAGTTAGTTTCTATTTGCTCGAGCATCTTAATCATTAATCCATTTCTGCCGGTTCAAAGAAAGAGAGAAACTTTTGTCATTCCTTGAAATAAAATATTTGTCAATGTTCACCTGTAGCGCGTTCTTGCGCCCAAATTTCTCCCGGCCAGACATCGAATAAGAAATGCACCTGCCATACATCCCCAGAAGAAGACTGAGATGATAAATGACCATCTTCCCTAAACAACAATGTACACGTTGTGAGCAAAGATCCAATCAGATTCCAACAACACCATCATTCACTCCTATGTACTTGTCTGACAAAATGCTCGTCACAACATCGTTCCTCCATGGCCTAAATTTTGCGCTATTTTTCACGTCTACAAAACCACCTCGAGTTTGCTCTCCGACAGGGGGGTCTTTGTGATTGCAGATGGACTCGTTCAGGAATTGAAGAAAAGCTGCGTGAGATGATTTTGTGCTCCAGAAGCGGATGAAATACATGCAAACTCGGGTCATTTCTTATAAACAAATAGGTCTATTTGCCTTATGAAACTATACATAAGCTGCGAAAATTAGCTTAATATATTATGTCCAAACAGGACCCTGTACATTGAAGTACGGAGTGGAACTTTTCACGGCTTGCCAAGCCTTTTCAGAAACGATACATCGGCCAGATCTTGGTTTATTTTTACAAGACGGCCTCTGAACTACCAAATGAGATGGGGTCCTCGATCGATTCTCGTGGTGACGAATTTTGTATTTCCGAATGATTTTTCAAATTTGCGTAAAATAGGATCCCACTATGGAATGATGGAGAATCGCCATGTTGGTGCAAATGCGTATTTGACCTTGCGAATTTGAAATTCAAAAGTTTGTTCACAACAAGGACGATCGGGTCGGCGGACCCACCTTGTTTGTATTCAGAGGCGTCCGTTTGTAGGGAAAATTACCCATGTCCTTTGGTCTCCCACATGTGTACATATATCGTGCAAATACCATTGTAGGAGAAGATAAGGCACGACTTGAAAGAGCATCTGGTTGGAGCTATTGAGCTGCCGTTCACCACACTTTTTCACGGCAAAAACAAACAACGGAAAAGATGCTCGAATCAAGAGGCAAGCATACGAAGATTACAGAATATTCCGTCCAGGTCCTCCAGTTCAAAATACTTTGAATGTTGAGAGGGTAAGTGCATCTATATGGTGTTGATGAGGGTACCGCTTATTTCTGGCATAACTTTTCCCAATAAACAGTTAGGCGTATGAATTTACCTGATATCCAAAATTGAATGGGCCGCCGAATGCCACCAACACAGCTGAAAGGAATAGTCGCCAGGTTGGAAGCGTCGAAGTCTTACGAGGAGATCTGAGAGGAAAATATTTCACACTTCACAATTGGAGAACGAGTTCCCTACAGAGTCATCCCTCATAATGCTCACAATAAACACAGCGCAGTTTTCAAGCTCAAAGGCTATTTTCTTAGGAATTCTTGAAATCAAAGTCAAGAACGTACCGACTTTCACCGATGAGACTCTTGTATATCGAAGAGTTTTCCATTCTATAAAAAACGTGTTTAAAGAAAAGCATACATTGAACCGAAGAGGAAAGCCCTGCTAGATGGTCAGAAGAACGAAAGTGGAAGTGAAGGAATGTGCACTGATGATTGAGATGAGTCATTTTCAAACAAATTCCACAGACTCTGACCGTCTAATTGAGCGTAGTTTAGGAATTCGTCGAAGATCGACGAAAAGCCTCAGGGAAAGTAAGGCAGAAACGCTACGAAAGGACAGAGCATATGATGGCAGACAAGAATGTAATCTAGTAAACTTAGAGGCTTCAGAGTCCATTGCTCGCATGGTCTGGCAGCAACATAGCGCCCGTGTTTGCTCTACATTTTAGAAACGTCCAATTCACTCAAGAGTATACCGATGACGCAAAAATGAGGGAACTAGTTATTGCCGAGAAGAGTTGAAAAGAGCAGGTAATTAAGCAGGTAAGGTAGTAGATAAGGTAGGAGCATTGAGTTGGGAGAAGAGGACCTCCAAACAGGGTAGGACCTCCAAACCGTCCGTTCGAAGTATTCGAACACGGGAGAGGTGTTTGCCAGAAGGGGGTCATATTCGAGTTTGAACATGATTCTTCATCTCTTGGGAAGGTGCGAACTGGGTGTCGTCTTTGCGGAAGTTGAAGGGGTCGCCGCGGTAGCGAAAGTTTCTTTCAACGGCTCCTTTGACATTTTGGCTGAACTTCGTGGAGGATTTGCCAAGCCCTCCCCCATTACCACTGAAGTGTGCATCTTGGGAGCGGAGGACGTGGTTGCAGTTGGCTGCGGATACGTGGACAGTCTCACAATTGCTATAAACGGTCACCCCGAAGTCTTACTATACTGTGCTTGTCGTTGGCTGATCCAGTGGATCTGGTAAAGGCTTCGAAGAAGGCGAACTCGCCGAAACGTTAGCCAATAAATTGTCAATATCAACCTCGTGTGCAGTTCAACAAAGGTACACCATCCCATCACTAACATGCGAGGTTAATCCGAGAGTCGGAGCATGACCCGCTATAGAAACAAACAAAGACAAGCCATGATGGCGAGGGTGGCGGCATTGCTTGTAGAGAGGCTGTAATGGAGGATCTTGGTGGATTAGTGTTAGTGTGGTGGGGTGTCGCACCGAGACGTCAAAGCCAGGTGAAGGTCGAAAAAATTCTCAAAGTGCGAACGAGAGTTGATCCTGCCTCTAAATTGAGGGACACAAATACTCCTCAATAACAGTTCAACAAATTGAACGCAAATAGTACACTTTCTCATGGAAACCCTCATAAAATCGAGCAAACTACGAGGAAGTGATATCTCTCATCATGATATCTCTCTCACGATCACCAAATCCCATCCTTCTAGGCCACATCGAATCTTACACCCCACAAAATTATAACATTTTGAATGAGTGACCATTTCACCCTTCCACTAGAGATGATTCTACACATACGCAGAGGTGATTGTTCTACTAAATGTTACTACCATTTGCCACCAAATGTACCTCCCTTTCAAAAAACGAGAAGAGCGTCGGGTGCAGACCATACACCACAAGTGACGACGGCCTTCCACAAAATGTAAATGTTTTCTGCCAATGAAATGATTAGCCTGTTGCAGTTGTATTCTATCAGTTGTCACTAATTACAACTATCATTTACCAAAAATCAGCTATCTATGAACCACTACTAACCAGATTTACTTGGAGGCCGTCGTCACTTGTGGTGTATGGTCTGCACCCGACGCTTTCTCGTTTTTGAAGGAAGGGTACATGCTAAGCGCTGGTCGCGATAAAAATGCACGCGAGTCAAAACGAGCCGATCAAGTTAGGCTTGTTATGATAGACGAAACACGTCTAGTTGGAAAGAGACGGAAAATTAGTGCTTATTGGGGTTATGGGGGGAGCCTTGAGGTTGAGTTAAGGTCGTATCAAGAATGCATAATAAAATACTTCTCTCTGCGCCATTTCAAACATGTTCCCTCGATTACAGCCGCTTTGTTTGACAAAATCGTGCCAACGGGCGCGGACAAGGACCGCAGTTGAGTTCATGCGCTGGGATCTCTCTGTGCTTGGAGCCTATAGGAACAGCAGCAGCTAGCCCAGCACGAATGAGTCGCAAGCCATGACTTTGCACCAGTTTCAGGTTCAGAAGACAACAGTTACTCGGAACTTCCATCAGCAAAAGAGTTCCATCGTAACAAAGCTCTGGGGGCAGCAGAAATCAAAGGAAACCATTAGGAATCGAAAAATGCAGACACTGTTTCTCAGTGTGGGAGAGAATATGGGTTGGAGAGCGTTATGAGACATACTGAAGGAGAGAAAGAAATTCCCGAGAAAGAGAGCATACAGAACAACGAGAAGACGTAGATGGGATACTACCACTGTGGGTGGATGAGCCGGCAGCAGGGCGGGTAGACCAGCGCTCG